AGCATACATTAAGTTACACTAGCTCTTGCAAGTACAGCTCATCATCTGGTCCCAAACCTCTAGAGTGCTAATTTTTGAAGCAAAAGTGTGCTTCTAGTGTTGTCAGAGAACTACATACATGTTTCCATAGTGGGAAATAAATTAATCTGTACATTATTTATAGTAATAGTTGTTACTAAAACCTTGTTCTGATAAGGGCCTCCCACCACTACTGTAACATCTGTTAAATAATTCATAGCTATTATTCAACCTAAAGCAGGTGTTTCACCTTAAATACCACAAAGCAAAGCTCCTTTAAAAATTCTAACCACTGTTTCCCAGTATGTTATTACCAAGGTAGGGCTAACTTCGACCTCCTGATACCTTACACACAGTAACCTTTCAATAGCGATCCAATTCAGAACCGCTGTGAAGATAAAGCAATTACGGAGATTGTAGCTTCCCACGCGAAAGATCACCCGCCAAACTACAAAATCACACGAGACGTCCCGTCATTGCGAGGCAAAGGCGCGGCCCCGGCTGTGAGAGAGCAGCAGCAGCAGCAGCCGGGCCCCTTGGGCTGCCTGGGCCGGGCCGCCGAGGGAGGCCGCCGACACCACTGCCTCGGTAGCCACGCTCCTGCGGGCGGGCGAGAACCGTCAGGAGCGAGGCCGCTCCCTGGTTTAGAGCAGACGTGTGTCCTCTCCAGCGCCGTGCTCTGTCCCTGAAACCCGGGAGGGCCCCGCAGGCTGGAGAAAAGTAGGAGCTCGGGACCCCGAAACGAGGTGAGGTGAGCCGGGCGCAGCGCCAGCCCCGCTCTGGGCCTTCCCCTCCGCCCGCCCCGCACTCACCTGCCCCGCCAGCCCGGCCAGGCAGCGCAGGGCGCTGTTCGCTACCTCGGCGGCCGCGGGATTCGTGTCCGGGACGCAGCCGCCGGGCGGGAACAGGCCGGACGCCGCCGCCGCCGCCGCCGCCGCCGCCGCCGCCGCCATGACGCCGGCACGGGCTGGGCCGCAGCCGCGCTGTCGCGCCGCGATGACGAACCTGCCGCTGGCCCCGCCCCGAGAGCTGATGGACAGGCGCGGTAGCCAATCAGGAGGGCTCTCCGGCCGGTCGGCTCGGGGCGCGTCCCGGGCCCTGCGCGCGCTGCGCGAGCCGCGAGCGGGAATGCCGGGTTGGAACCGCTCCCGTGCCAGGGCACCCTGCTCCCTCACTCTCCTCTTTGCCTCGGGCTCTGTCCTGCCCTGCAGCAGGCTTCCCGGAGCGGTCAGCTCGGGCGCCTGTCGGGCACGCCCGTAGGAGGACAACAAGTGTTTCTTTAAGTGCGTTAAATTGCTGCCCTTGATTCAGCGGTGTTTTTCTGGCTACACCTTCACTCTTTTGTTCTTCTAAGCCTTGACTCTTCTGGCTACAGCAGGGCTGGTTTTAAATCAACCTACAAGATTTGTCACAGTACTCTGATTATGGGGATTGCAAAATTGCGTTCCCTGTAACATGGTCTTAATTCTTTCCTAAAACAGTGTAAGTGTTGACAAAGATCTTCCACCTGATGTTTCTTTTGATACCCTAATTTTGCTCCTCTAACCTTCATGCTTATTCCTGTTCTCTGACACCCTCCTGCCCCCAATATTTTTTTCTTCCATTGGAAGATGGTAAGTGCTGTTGTATATACACAAGTGTTAAAACATTCTTAAATAAAAATGTTGGAAAGGCAGATAATTTTTTCGACTGATATTTTGAGGGTTACTTTAAAGACATTCCTGTATAAAGCATCCAGAGAAGACCTAAATTGAGTGAAAATAAATCCCACTGAACTGAAGGCATTCAGCAACAGCAGGCAACAATATTTCAGAAGACCTGAGTAGATACAGCACTACTCAATTCCAGAGGAAAATAAGTTCCAAAGAGGACTTCAGTGTTAATAATTACAAATATATTTCATGGAGAACTGCAGTTAGCAAGAATACCTTACCTAAGGTGAGCTAGATGGCATTTAGCTGGCTTCAGTTGATGAGAACCATTCTTTGGATTCAGAAATGCTTACCACAGAATGTGGTTGTGAGTTGGTAGCTCTGAAATATATAGCAATTCACTTAATTCCCGCAGAAACACCGTTTTTGTCAAATGACAACATCTTGAAAACACACAGAATACAGTAGTCAAGATAAATTGTGAAATTTTGTTTCATATTTCTGTGAAAAATGTTAATTCCAGCTCGTGATCAAGTGGTGACTACTTCAGCCTGCCCTACCTCTTGCAGTTTTGTTTCTGGACAGGCAGCTGAAGCAACTCTGCAAAATGTAATCATCTAATTTGGATCAAATCATGAAGATTTCAGGAAAAGGGAAAATACATTGTCCTTCCCCCACTAGCACTACAACAATGAATAAAGGTGTGAGTAATTTGCTGGACAGAACAGAATATGGAGCACAGATGTAACAACCTGGTATCGTTTGTTGCTTCTCAGTGTCAGAGGAGACAGTTTGCCCTGGCTGAATTCCCCATGACCTGCAAAGATGGAGCAAGTCCAGGCATTTGAACCAAATTTTAATTTCAAGTAATGAATGTTCAGCTACCTGATAAATTACACTTCAGGAAAATGCAGCTTTCCTGGAGTGATAAGCAGGTGTGTGCTTGCTTTAGCAGGGAGTGCGTGTCGCTTTCTTAGTTGAGAGACCTAAGATCATTCCTTTGCTTTTGAGCACGTTATCTTTACCTCTAGCAAGAGATTGTTTTGGAGGACAGAATGTTTCAAGTGAAAAAGATGTAGATAAGCATATAAATGTCAGAAAGGTACTGGAGGTTACGTTGCCATATACTCAGAAATACAAGGGAGATTGAGTGAACGTGGATGACAGTAAGAGACAGTGGAGACAATAGACCGTTATTTATTCAGTGATAATTACAAGAGTAAGCAAAAGACCATGAAGTAGTCTGAAGAGTTGTTGATGTCCACCTATTATTTACTAAGCAAAAACTGGATCTCGGTCTTCTTCCTGTTCATTGCAAATATCTTCTCCTAGAGGAACAGTAACAATTCCCATGGGTAAAGATTTCCTTCCTACTTTCACTGTCTCAGAAGACCTTGATCTGCGTTGCGGCTGCTAGCTGGATAAATTCAGTATCATCTGAAATTTCACAGATTAAATTATGCAATGCATTATGTAAACATGAACAGAAGTAATCCAAAGTAATGCAAGAGATTAGGAAAATGAGAGCATGTGAGAAAATGAGAATAGGGAAAAAAATGTGCAAATACAGCTAAGACAGAATATGTTAAACGTTCATGTGTAGTGGAAGAGACAGGCCAGACCAGAATGGTTCCAAAAGATGATTGTATGCTCACTGCATGTAGTGCAAAGTAAAAATGAATGCACTTGCAATTGCCTCTGGCAGTAAAGCTGGCCACAGTAAATCCAGGCCTCCCATAAAGACAGAGGAAATTACATGGCATGCTTACTAAAGCTGGTGAAACAATAAAATATTGGAAGCTCTCATTGCTGGAAAGATACTGGTAATTTGGAATGAATTTATAGGAAACTGGCAAGAAGTGGATTGCCAGAGATAGAGATACTTGTTTAGAAGGAATCAGAAGATTTAAATATGTCTAACTTGGCAGTAATGTCCAGATATTTTAATAATGTGACTACCAAGAGAGGGAATAATCTGGAATTGCTTTCAACATCCAAGGATAGAGTTATCATGATAATATTAAACCTTCTGCAGCTTTGATCCCTGAAATGGGTCTGGTAGGCATATAAAAGCTTCTCCCACTAAAACCACCTTGAAACATATAAGCACAAAACCATTAATTTCTTAAATAGCAAATATTGTTGTTGGGTTGAAGTGATTTTGAAATTGAAAAGAATTTTCTTTTGATTTTGGACTATTGCTTCTTTTTGTTTGGTTTGTGAAACGATAAACACGTAAACCTCTTTCCAACTCTAGGTGCCTTTAAACACTTTAAAATCACAGTAAACTTCAGTAAATTGACACAAATTCTGTTTGCTGGTCACCACTGTCATAACTGCTAGCACTTTTTCTTCTGCTGAATATTACATTACCATAATTTCTGAACTCATACTTTAATTTTGTCCCTAATTAACACCCAGATAACGGTGGGTGCTTTGCAGAATGTACCAGTGGTTGAAGCTTGTTGTGCTCAAGAGCAAAGTGCTAAGCTAAGGAGGCTGTCTTACGTATAAGCAGATTTTTCTCCCAAATTCAAAAACTTGTGCTTCGTACTTATGTTAGCTGTAGCACAGGGGAAGGTAAAGAGGCAATGCTTCGGAAAAAAAAAACCTTTAACTGAAATAATTTGGAGCTTCGAAGTTAAAGACAATATGTTGAATTCTGCCCAGAGCCCCAGACAAGTGGTGCAGCTTGACACCAACTGCTGTAAATGTAGTTGTCCTTAATACTGAGATTATTAGTGCTGCTTTAAATTATCTCAGTTTATAAACAGAAAATTGATAGTATCCTACTCATTGGATTAAAATGGGACATGACCAAGTCCCTCTAAAATAAAAGCTTTTATTTATTTTTCCAAGCATTAATCTCAGAATTAAGAGCACTTCTATTGCTTCCCAGGTACCCAGGAAAAGGCATTGCTCCAACCGAATTTATACATCCTGGTTCAACATGATACTTAAGCTTGTGCCTAATTTTAAGTACTAGCCCAGCTTAAAAAAACTCAGTCTTCTTCCTTAAAATGTGGTCAATGTGCTTATTAACTTCATCAAATAAGGCTCTGAATTGCAAAACTAATTCTCCAATAGAAGCTGCATTTTTTCAACCCAAATGTCTTTGCTGAATTTTGGTGTTTCTCTCACTCTATCAAAATTTAGAAAGCCCTGTTCAGATAGGATTGAAATGGGATTTGTATGAAATGTCCTGTGGGAAATACAGCTGTGATGTATTTGCAGTTGAAGGAAAAAAACCTGAGCCTGTAAGTATCATGCATACATACATACATACATACATACATACATATATATATATAAAACTTGCAGTAATTTATTTCTTCCTAACATCCATGACGCTGTTGCCCAAATTCTGTTTAGTGTTCTTATCCTGACATGAACATAGACCCATGGCCCTTCCTCTCTGAATTTTTTTACCCTTGAGATTTTCGAATACTCTTCCATGCTTTGCCATACTTTGGTCTTTATTTTTAATGTCTTTGTTTAGTAATTTTACACCATAATTAAATTTTATCTACCTACCTGTCCCCCCTTTCTTGCTACCATCTGCAAGTAAGATTAATACTCTCTGCACAGAATTCTTCAGTTCAGTTATACAATCTGGGATCAAGAACTGACCTCTGCAGGTCCCAGCTCAACAGCTCTTCTTAGAAGTCAGCAAACTATTATTATAATTATTCTGTGTTCACAAATTCCAGATTTCTGTAGCTACTTTGAAAGATTTGAATATAAACCTCCTTCCTATCATTCCTTGTGAGACTATCACATGAAAATGTAGAAGGTGTCTTGCAGAGTAGGTGTCTATGCTCACAGTGCTTCCCCTGTCTGTAAAGTGTAAATAATTTGACACAAGCATTGTGAGATTAAGCACTCATACCTGAAGTCAGTCTAAAATTTAATAATTTTCCATTGCATTAATATATACATGCTTCACATATTATATATTTATTTAACTCAGGTTTAATGGGACACTTGGAAATCTATATTTAACAGGGAAACAGGAATATAGCATATTTATTTCAGAGAAAATTTAACTTTTGGGATTCCTTGATTACTGAGTACTTGATTTTAAAAGCTGTAGCTTGCATCTTTATTAGTATAATTTGACTATTATTTTAAAATAAATAATAGTGATAGTTGCTTAGGAATATTTTAAATAGGGTTCTTCAACTGTGCTATGTACAAGCCTTTTACATAGCTTAGGTGCAAGCCAGGTCCTTTTCTAAATGTTACGGTTTTGCTACTGTTTTCTGTGAAACGGTTGCATTGCTCAAATTTAAATGTACCTCCTGCTTCAACAGTTCAGCTTATAAATTTCTGTACCCCATAGCTGGACAGTTGTCGTATAATAGGTTACATCTATCATTATTGGTCTGATCAGTCATTCCATATCCTAGTAGGCTCTCCCATTGACTTGAGGAATCAGATCCATATCTGCTTTAGATATGAGATTCATGGACTGATAGTTGAAATTAGGGACCTGTATTATGTAGCTGAGTTGAGCCTCTCAAAATAGCCATAAGGAGTTCTTATATCCATTTGGAAAAGTAACATAGGTAGCTGAATCCTTTGAGCTTCAACTTATGAATCTGTACAAGTAAATACATCATGCCCTTTTTGGATATAAACTAACTACAAAGTTATTTGAATGATCTCATTTGTATTATAGTAAATGAACAAAGGATCACACTCATCCTTACACTGTCAGTATTTTTCTAATGCAGAAGAGGCATTTGTTAATAGGGAATATGGAGCCTTTGACATTTTGGATCCCAATCCTTCAGTGAAGCTAGTCATGCACCTGCTTATTTGTGCACAAATCATTCTAATGAATTCTAAAGGACTATTCATGTGCATAAAGCTAAGCCTGTGTGTAAAAGCCTTTGCAAGACTGGGCCTAGGTTGTAAGTTTGATAATGACCTGAGACTGATTCAACAGAATAAAAACAGTCCTTTTAGAAAGTTGAGAAGTGTAACTCCAGCTCAGCTGAACAGGTATGGGCAGTGCTAAAAGAAAAAAACTGATCAAGAAAAAATGGCAAGAGATATAAATCTTTTTTATTATTATTTATATTTTATAATACTGCATTTTACCTTAATCTTATTAATTCTTGGCTTCAGTTTATTTTCATTATGGCTATGAATTCCATTTGAATAACTTTATTTCAGGAGCTTAGAAACTTTCCTGGTTTAATTTCATGTATATATATATATATATATATATATATATATGTATATAGCCTATGTGGAAGCGTAGATCCGCTTAGAGAATGGTAGTTGAGAGAAATCATAACTAGGCTCAGGAAAGTTTTGCTTAAGGAGAAGTCACGACATCAACACTGTTTCAAGAAGAAGTGTGCAGAAGAGCTTTGTGCGCTTATTTGTTCATAGCATGCAATATTCTGCCTTCTGCTGCAAGTGTTTTGTGCTGCACTGCAGCACTGCATGTTCTCAGAGACTGCACATCACCTGCAGGAGCCTCTGAACAACATCAGGGGAATTTCAGTCATTGTGATGCGTCTCCTGAAACCATTTGCTAGATATTGCTTCCATCAGTTGCTTCCACCAGGAACTTCCATAGAATTTGGTAAAGACTTTTTATGTGTTTAACATTAAACAGACAGGCAGTGCTACTGAAATCACCATGAGAAAGAAATGAAATTACTTAAATATAAACTGAGTTCCTGCTTGGGCCTATGGTGTTTGGCATTTAATATGGTGAGTGTATGAAATAGGCACCTTTATGCACAATCACAAAAAAAGAAACGTTTTCCTTTGCATAAAGCTAACTGTTGTCTTAATATGATCTGTTCACTGGTAAAATAGTCACTCTACTCTGTGGCCTTTAGGTAATGTTGACTATGAAGTGACACTTGTTTGTTAGGCTCACTAAGTTAAACTTGATAAAAAAGGGGGAAGGTGTCTTTGCCCTGTAGTTTAATCAACTTTTATTCGCACTTAATATCAGAAAAAATCCAGTTTCCTCAGTTAAAGGATGAATTTAATAGCTCCGCTGGGTGAAGAAGAGAACAGATGGACAAACCATACCAAAGCTGCAGTGGGTGAAGGTGATAGCCCAGAGACCACCACTGCTGACTTTACTCTAGTTGTTGGCCTTGGGGACATGACAGATATTTTGCTGTTTGATGCAGTAAAATGAAGAAACAAGGTATATCTTATAAGGCGTGGTTTTCCTTTACTAAGCTTTAAATTATGATTTAAATGAAAATTAAAGTATGGAGTATTTTGCTGTTTTATAATTTAGCAGTTCAGGCTGAAGTTTCCTTTATGTTCTTTCTGGTTTTATACAGGCAGCCTAGAAGATGGACATTTGACAGGCCACAATAGACTGCTCCTTTCCCAGGTATCTCCTGCTTGTTTCCTTTATCTGTGAATAGGAAATGGCTTAAAGGCACCTGTGTTATGAAGGTCCCAGGGGCAGCTGCCTGACTAGTGAATGCCTGATTATGTGTTAACATGCTTTGTCAGATATTGGCAGAATCTGTTCTCTTCTTTTGCCTTTTCAGCAAGGGTACCATTGACAGACTGGCTACCCATTTATAGAAATGTTGTCCATCAAACTGTGAGGAAGGACAATGGTGTTTTTCTGTGACCAGTGACTGTGGGAAACTTTTCTTTGGCTATTCAGGCAATTTTTGTAGCTTGCTCTGAAGAGGAGAGACTGATGAGTGCAAAAAGTACAATTAAGCAAAGCCAGACTTCAATTGAAGGCTGTAGTGTAGTCTGCTTGTTCTCATTTTTTATTTGGAAAAAAATCTATGGGTTTTCACGTTGCTGTGTGGCATTCAGCGGGGGGCTATTACAATCCTAAATTTTTTTTCTAGACCACCTAATTCTAAGTAAAAATTAAATGTAATGAGAGCCACTTGGAGTTCTGAATATTTTAAAGCATAATTCCCACAGAAGGGATTCGACCTAAACTGTGGAGAGCATCAGTTGGCTAATTATAGCTGCATTTTATATTACAGCAGGTGTCAGATGCAGTCATCTCAATAAAGTCCACATAATACTCTGAAAAATAACAAAAGCTTTTCTTTGAATGTGGGTACTAATTTCTGCTAGGTGTCATAAGAGCTCTGATACTTCTTATTGGCATTAACAAGAGCACTGCAGCACTCAAACATGCTTTTTGCTTAGGATGAATTGATACTGTAAAGCACTTACTAGTCAGCCTTGGCAGATGTCAGTAGTTAATACTAGTGTTGCAGAGGTTGGTATATAATGCAAAGAGTCTTATGTAAATACTTTTAGATGATGGGCTGGTTTAGAGAATGAGTGTGAGCCATGCATCAACTTACTTAATGAAAGCTAAATAGACAACAGCAGGATAACTGCACTTCCTTTAACTTCTGTCTTAAGTCCTCTGCAAGTAAAGGGCATATGGGAAGGCAGTAAACTAGGTGAATAAAAACATTAAACTTAATAAGCACTTTGTGCGATCATACTATTTTCCCAATTCAGTGGAAGCAATAAGTTTGAGTTACTGAAATGACTGGTGAGAAAGGTGTTTCCTAAGCCTTGAAACGGAGGTTCCCTGAAGAGTGTATCTTCAGAATAGCCTGCAAGTGGTGAAACTACAGAAATTTGATTGTCACCTGACTTCCTAAATAAAAGATGGCATTCTGTGATTCCAAGAGGATTGTGGTTTAAAATATTAATGAATCATTAAAATAAGTGCTGAAGTGGGAAGCATGCACAGAAGCCCTTGAATACAAGGAAATGTGATGACATTGAACTTGTAGGCACAATGGGCAGGGTGAAAAGCAAAGGCAGGAAAACCTGCCCACCCAATTGTGCTTGGCCTAACATGCCTCAGAGATGTTTCTCAAGATTGCCATGTACCCTGAGAAGCAGTAAGATGCTTCAGTACAGAATAGCAGAGTCAGGTCATGGTGAGCTTGCTGCTTCTCCTGAAGGGGATAGGATGTACCTGGTCCAAACATGGCTGAGGAGAAGGGCTTCAACAAAGAATGATGCCAAATGTTAGGCTAATCATGCAGGAGACACAACCATGTACTAGCAAAACAAAGGAAATTTGACAGATGATCAAATCTTCCAACATCTGAGTTTCCTGTAAGAGCAACAAGCTACTTAATGAACTACTGTCTAGTGCCGTATACCTTTCCCTCACATCATCTCCCCTGAGGAAAGGTAGTCCTAAACACCAGGCTGCCTTTGTCTTTTCCACAGAAGTCTAAGGAGAATTGCAGAGGTTATAGAAATAATAAATACAACTTATTGTTATAAATATTCTATTTTTAAAATGTAAAAACCAGTCAGCTGAATAAAACTGAACCACAAGTTCCAGCATGTTACCTTAGCAACTCTGTAAGAAAAAAAGCAATCACAGATTATGAAGTATTATTTAATGTTTTGTAGAACTTCAGAATAAAGTATAATCTTATCATATTACATACTGACTTTACTAACAGGTAGGAAGAGCCTGTTTTTTGTCTGAAGTCTAGGTGCAACAAGTGACTTGTAAAAAACAAGTGTAAGTAAATTAGAGTAATATATTCATATTAAGAATACACACATTTCTGGATTAACATACATATATTGTTCAAGAGAAAGTTTCTAAATACAATATTAAACATATATAATCCATATAGCCTCTAAATCTGGTAAAAAACAGATACAGAAACCAAACAGAGGTATAGAGATAAAAATGAAGGAGAAATAATTTCTTGGCTAATCTGTGCCTGGCATCTGGGGAGCAGAGGGCTGTCTGTGAGAGAACTGCTTTAGCTCTCACACATGAGGTTACCTCTAAGGAATAGACCTATGAAAAGGCCTGATAACAAAAGCCCAATTACAAAAGCTGAAGGCGTGATTGCCATTGTATAAATGAATTTACTAATTTACCCCATTTATTCCACATAGCCTCTTTCTGAAACCTTTTAATATGAAAGAGCCCAGCTCAACTTGGAAAGCTCTTAGGAGTTGTGTGAAAGGCTGGGAAGGTAAACAAAAGGTTAAGTTAACTGCAAGAACTGTCAACCTAGTCATCCTTTAGTTGTCTCTCCTTTAGCACAAAAACACATGAGGAAACCACCACTGTACTACATTGCTTCTGCACTATTGTTTTCCCATGTCTTAAATTTCTGGTCTTGGGATGTGTTCTTGTCCATGAGGTACAGAGCTAGGTATTAAAGAATAAAACCTTCTCTTGCTGGTAGATATTCTATTTTTTTTTTTTCCTTTTAGGAGAGAAGGTAAGGGATAGTTATCAGCAAGTAGAGGTGCTGTTGTAAAAGGTAACTTCCGGTAGTGTCACTCAAAATGTATTACCCTCTGCAGATTACAAAAACCTAATGACTTCCCCTTGTGATGTCTCTGAAGGATTCTTTGGAAGAAGACATCTAACAGTTCCTGTGGTAATGACTGTTACTGCCCTATATATGACAAGAGTTTTACGTGTATGTAATTTTCCTCGATTATTCTAAAAAAACGAATGTGTCTAGGATAATTTTGTGTGTCACCTATTGTGAAAATTGCTTTGGTGGCAAGCAAAATCAACTGCTCTGTGACCCACACTTCTTGATATTAGGGCTTACAGGAAACTTACTGCACTCTTCCCTCTCCACAGTTACTGCTACTTCTTCCCCTCCATTTTTGCTTTTGGATTACAGAGATGTGATTTCACAATACAAGCAGCACAGATGGCAGCTGAAGGTCTTTATCTGCCAGGTGTCTGCATAACGGCTGAGCCAATGTATGCAGCTGAGCACAGCTCACTTTCTCACATAGGTGTTCAACACCATTTATCTGAATCATAGCCTTGCATAACCTTTGGAAGTACCTCTGGGAAATTTTAGAATATATTCAAATACACAATACTTTGGCAGGCAGAAATCACAGGAAGTCTTGCTCTGAATTCATTGTGAATGCTCAGAAGAAAGAAGTAGTTCCTGCATTTGCTGCTGTGGTTGCAAAGGATGGGCTTAATGATGTAAAACATTGGGAAAGTGTAGGCCCTATATAAATATATCTCCTATAAATATAAACATATATAGATAATCAGCTATACTCAAAGAAAGGTGGTGGGAGATCACTTGGGTTTGCTGACAGACTTCAATAGAGAGAGGAAGATGAATCTTTAGGGCCGAGGAGGAAGTCATGTAGTCCTATAATAACTAGGAGAGAAGAACTGATTTTTGTAGTTTGGGAGTGCAGGATTGTGTCATTCTGAGCTCTGTGGAACTGTCTTCCTCTTGCTAGGGCTCAAAAGCATCCAACACCTCCTTTCTGTCAGTTGAGGTTCACAAATTAGGTCTCATAAGAAGAGAAGTGGTGTGATCCAATATAGGCACCATCCTGTGATGGTATCACACGGAGACAGATGGACTTTCCTGTGGATACTGCAGTTACACACCAGTAGGCAATGCAGACACAATGGCTGGTCCCCATGTGCAAACAAATGCAGGAGATGGGAGACTGGGAATATTTGACTGAAGGGGTGAAAGAAATCTGAGGAAGAAAGAAACCAGGTGATGGCTTACATAGGAATCAAGCTGGGAAAGAAGAGGTTTGCACCTTATAGGATCAAGACCTTGAAATAGGTCAAGGAACAAAGGAAGTTAGGAAGACGGGAAGTTCTGGGCACGGTGCCTACTGTGACTGACACTTCCAGGGACCATAAATGGAGCCAAAGCCTTGTCTGAGAAGGCCTTATGCTTCCCCAATAGTTTTCTAGGCAACATAATTTCACTGTCTTTGTGAAACATTAGAACTGATTACAGTGCTGTAGGTCCAACGAACTGGGGAGATTTGGGGAGGAATTTTGTTCTCTAGAGTAGCTTCACAACATCAGCTTACAGAAAGGGATGGAGAGTGTGAGGATAAAAACCACATGAGAAACAAGAACTGAAAATTCCCGGAGCATTTCACCTAACAGTATAGCTATCAGGAAGATCATTTGTGCATAAGGGAATGGCAAGATCCCAAGTGCCAGTAGTGCTGTACGTTATACAGGACCAAGTTCATTCATTGCTGGCACTGTGAAGAACTGAGTTATGGAGTCTAATGGTGGAGAATTTAATTCCTAAATTCAAGCCTCTGAGAGTGAAAAAATGGTTCTTATTGCCCAATGTGAAAGATGTATCTTCTTTGAGAGCTCACTTCTTTGCTTTCCTTGAAGGAGAAAATAAAAAGATTTTTATAAAAATGAAGAGTGAACATTTGACAAGATGTCTGTGGACGTAGTTTCATTTTACTTCAGCTGTGCCATGAAAGGCCATGAAATATCTTCCTCAGGCCTTTCAATAAACTACATTATCTTTAAGCATATATCAAGGAAAGCAAAGAGTTTGAAGTATTAAAAATATTTTAAACGACTTTGCAGGTGATGTGTATGTGAAGGTTCAAGCAATCATCCAAGGCCAGAGTACTTGAAGAACTGAGGAACTGTTAAATTACTGTGATCTTAAAAATGATTACTGCAATACTTTGGAGAATACATTTTCCATAACAAATATAGAACATATTTTCTAATTTCTATTATGGTTATCAAGGTCATTCAGTGATAGAATGCAAAATCTTTTCTTTTTCTCATTCAGATACTGTCAGGTGCATAAATTCTATAGCTAATATAGAAATACATTTAAAAATTGGAATTTATTAATGAAGAAATATGTCTTTGCCCAGTATTATACAATAATTTTTTATCTTCTGAATGCAGTTTAACAATACACAGACTCTGTCTGGCTTTATTCCACTAATACATGCCATTTCCAAAAGTGTGTTACCTTGTATGTTAAACACAGTGCACTCACAATTACCCTAGCATTCCTTGAAAATTAATTTCAAATACACATTTATTGTAAGTGCTTTGGGGCAAGAACCATCTTTTGTTATTAAACAATACAAATGGGATCTTGGCCCATAATTGGGGCTCCTAAGCACTGTGAATTCTTTCATCAGTGTCTCACATTCTCTTTCTCACTCTCTTTGTCCCTCTGCAGATTATGCCAGTGTTTACAAAGGTTGGGATCCTTTGCATCCTCATCAGTTTTTACATTTCCCCGAGAATCAGATTCAGTTTAGCCTAGCATTCTTCACAAAGATAAAAGGGTGACAGATCCTGACACATTTGTGCTTTTGAAAAGTGGAAAAGCTGATTTAATGCATAAACCCTATACTAAAGCTGTCTCCAAGGTGAAATTGCACCAGTCTTGGAATAAAAAGTGGAAGACAGATACTTAAACTACATACAGTGATGTGCTTAAGCACTCTTTCTTATAGTATAACCAGAAAATGCTGTAATTACCTTATTTTCCAGTTTTTAACTACTGAAACTTGGCTGATTTCTTTGTGATCAAAGACACCTAAGACACCTGATTTATGTCTTAGGTAATACTCAATCTTCTTCACATGTATGGGCTTCAATCACTATTATTTCAAACTATAATACTGGGCAAGACATATTACTGAATGCTTATTTTACAGTTTCATTACTGAAACAAACATATACACATGAGCCATGCATTAATCACTGAATTACTAGACCTTAATGACTGATTTATTAATGACAGATCAGTATGTTCTATCATAAATATATTAGTGAATTTACTAAAGTATTGGTAATTCTCTGTGAATTCAATGACAGTGATTTAGTAAAACTAGAAAGAAATGTGAAATTATTAAAGACATACAAAGAGCCAGACCTGACAAATTAGAAGTCTCTTTCTAAGATCGGATACTTTAGCCTGCAGTTGAAAAGAGCTTTGCCACTGAAAGAGCATTGTGACCATAATGGTTGTTCCCCAAACAGGAGTGGTGTAGCTACAACTATTCAGTCACAGGTTCTTAGGTTGTTTGTATAGTATAAAGCCAGTGGAAACCATTTCAATTCTCTAACTGGACCTCCCACATAACATATATCTAAGATTTTTCCTGTAACTAATTCCTTTGGTAATTGAAGTGCATGTTTGAGAAAACATGCTAGTCTTGATTATGATCTTTGCAGAGATAAAAAATCTACCACAGTGCTGAGTATGATGTTTCAATTAGTATCATAACAATTAAAAAAAATGAGTCCTCTTGTTACGATTTGTGTAACCTTTAGTTTAAGCCACTGAGTCTTGTTACACATTGATTTGTGCAAAATGGAGGCATTGATGAAACTTCATCTTTCTTTAGTAAACACCTTGTAGAACTTGGAAAAATCATTTTTTAACTTGCTTTCTTGAGCTTTTCTACTGACAGAATGTAGTGTGCAGAAAGCATATGAATTTACAGTGCTTGAGCTCCTCAGCTCTGGCTTGCCAGGCACACCCATCTGAGCAATGCTAAGCAGGTAAAACACAAACTACCTCATCCTAAAGACAGTTTTAATGCAATATAGATGAGATTTTTAAATTTAACTTTGATATGAAACAAACTGCCTCTAAAAAAGTTTGAGCAATCAGCAAGGGAAAAAACCCTCTCCTTTTATTCAATACTCTTATATACATGTGCATGCAGATCACATGAGGCCACAGTTATAATTGTCATAAATGCATCAGGGCAGTATAAACTTTATATTCTCGGAGGTATTCAGCATGTTTAGACTTTATTCTACTGTTCTGGTAAGAGAGCAGAATTATATTATTTGAGTTACAGTCTGCATTGCACATAGGCTATAGCTGTAGTTAAGATTGTTCCTAATGCTCACTTTAAATGAAATAGGGTGGATAAAAAAGTTGTCAGTAAAGGAAAACAGTTGATGCCAACATCTTTTTCAGTTCATTATTAATAGAAAAACATCAGTGGAACCCTCACTTTTAAGGAAATCACAGTTAGAGGCTGGAAAAAAGTTAAAGGGATACAGGTACAGCAGAATGTCAAGGGAATCTTGCCATTATTTTGTCTCCTGGGACATCTTATACAGAATTAGTAGCCTGGTTATGGATTTGGACTGTAGAACCACTGACAGGCTTGTGACTGAATGCAAGAAAAGCAGAGCTCATAGTCCCACAAAGAAAACGTGTATTCTGTTGCTAAAGAGCAGAGCTGATAAAGACAACTGATTGTAGTGGGCTGACCCTGGCTGGACACCAGGTACCCACCAAAACCACTCTATTGCTCGCTTCTGTAACTGGACAGAGGAGAGAAAATATAATGTAGGGATCGTGATTTGAGATGAAGACCAGGAGACATCACTCACCCATTACTGTCATAGGCAAAACAGACTCAAAGTGAGGATATTAATTAACTTTATTACTAACTGAATCAGAGCAGTATAATGAGAAGTAAAAGAAATCTTAAAAACACTTTCCCTCATCCCTCCCTCCTTCCCAAGTTCTACCTCCTCCCCCCAGTGGCTCGAGGAAACGGGGAATGGGGGTTACAGTCAGTTCATCACAGATTGTTTCTGCTGCTGCTCAGAGAGAGGAGTCCTTCCCCTGCTCCCCGTGGGGTCCCTCCAAGGGAGACAGTCCTTCATGAACTTCTCCAGCATGAGTCTATCCCATAGGCAAGAAACTGCTCCACAAAAATCTCCACAAACTGCTGCAATGTGGGTCACTTTTCCACAGGGTGCAGTCCCTTCAGGCACAGGCTGCTCCAGTGTGGCCGCGCCACCGAGGCCACAAGTCCTACCAGTAAAACCTGCTCCAGCATGGGCTCCTCTTTCAATGGGTCAGCAGGTCCCTCGTGGGACCTTGCTCCTGCATGAACCTTCCATGGGGTCACAGCTCCTTTGGGCATCCACCTGCTCTGGTGTGAGTCTCCTCCATGGGCTGCAGGTGGATCTTTGCAGCCCAATGGACCTTCATGGGCTGGAGGAGGACAGCTGCTTCACCATGGTCTGCACCATGGACTTCCCCTACCCATGGGAATCTCAGCTCTGGCACCTGGAGCACCTCCTCCTCCTTCTCCACTGACCTTGGTGTCTGCAGAGTTGTTCACATGTTCTGACTCTGCTCTTCTCTGGCTGCCATTTTCATCTACCCAATAACATTTTTCCCCCCTTCTTAAATATGTTATTGCAGAGGTGTTATTATCACTCCTGATTAGCTTGGCCTTGGCCAGCAGCAGGTCTGTCCTGGAGCTGGCTGCAATTGCCTCTGCAGGACACTGGGGAAGGTTCCAGCAGTTTCTTGCAAAATCCACCCCCGTAGCCTCCCCGCTACCAAAACCTGGCCACAAACCCCCAGTACTTTGCTGGAGATATTCTCTCTCTGTATGGGCTGTGTGTATCTTAAATCCAAATAAGATAATGTTGTTTGCTTTAATTAATTGAAAAGCTTTGTCTTGACCTTCTTTATACAGAACCTTGAGTGAACACTTCTGAAAGTCCAAGATCTCTTCTTTGAGACAGATGTCTATCTTGTATTCTTCTGTGTTTTATTTTCATGATTTGAAGAATGTTTGAATTCTCAGATTAAGGCTATACCAAGAGAAATTGTTTAAAATGTTCCTACGTGTTGACATTCTTTTAATCCCATCAGTCTTCCCAATGCTTATCCTGATTAGGATTTCTCTTATCTGACGCTCAGAAAAAAGTAAGAGGTTGAAGGGTAATGTGGTGTTAACACATTTATAATCTATTAACTATAGCATTTGGTCCTCAAACAAACATCTGCATATGTCTTGGAAGAAATGAACAGCAAAATGCTGCTGTGCAAACTAATTCTCAATTTTGTCATAATGTTTCCAGAATTGCAGTCAGCTATAAATTTTCAACATGACGCTTGACATTCAAATGGAAATCTCAAACTGCTACTGATATTGGACAGGAAACAGAAAAGGATTAGAAGAAGAAATAGCAGGACATTTTTTCACTAAATCTGTTCTGGATTATATTATGCACTTGGGTCTTGTGGTAGTGATATGTTTGATGCAAATTGACACAAAAATGAACTTTACTGAACAGATACTGTAGTACTCTGATTTTTGATTGATATCTATATATCTATCTAAATTCCATAATTTCACACAATATATTTCTATCAAGTGTGTTGCACAATCAATCTTAGATATTTTAATTACAGTTTATCTTAGCTAAGAATTTCAAGAAGGGTTACTTCTTGCAGTCTCCCATTTTTTCATGTTAATTTTGGGACTTCTTTAAAATGGGATTTATTTTCAGAGGTGGAAGTACTTAGCTGGTTTCTGTAGGGCACATATTTCAAAGGTTTCTTCTTCTGGTGTTCAAGCACAGAGACATTTAAAATTTTCACTTGTTTTTGAAAAATCTTGATGATACCACATGCTCACATTTTAAAGCACACAAAATTTTCTGAGCTGAAGTACAACAAATTGTAGAGAGTAGCATCACGAAGCTGGATAGATCAGAAACTTGTAAGTGAATTCTCAGTATTTTGGAAGTGTTAAGAGGGTAAAGGCTAAAAAACTGTCCCCTATAATTATCAGATTACCTTCCTGGGGAATATGTTACAGAAATTATTTTATTTTTTGCATGTAAATATTTTTTTTTAATCTGGATTCTGTGAGCTTGTATTAGAAGGGGCTGAACTTGTAAATCATTGGAGCACATGAGTAATTCCACTTACATTAACAATATTTTTTAAGCATCTGCTTAGATTTATATACATGTTTAAGTACTCTGTTGGGAATTAAGTGATTTGACTTTGGATAGCCTGATATTGTTATTTCTATTGTCACTAAATATACATAAAATAGAAGTACAAAACCCTATCAATAATGTCTGTGTTGCTCTTCTCCTATTTGTTTCAGAATAATAAAGTTTTCCTCTTTGAAAGATTATTTATTTTATTCCCTTATCAGCATCATAGTACATTATATTAGTCCTTGATTTAAAGTATACTTTACTGAATACTGAATACTTTCTGAAAATGAAAACCAAATGTATGTTATCTATTTGTTCTCTGATTATGTATAACCTGAAAGAAATTCAGAAGGTGGTGAAGCATGACCTTTCATTCCTGAGGCAATATTGTCTATCCTTCATCAAGCTGTGCTTTTCTAAATGGTACCCATTTAATGTCCAAAAATGCTTTTTAAGATTCCCTCCTCCCAAAAGGCATCAAAACTAAATGGTCTGTAATTTCCTGAAGTGTTCCTGGAGTCCATCTTCAATAATGACATTATGTTGGCCATTTTCCAGCCATCAGGTCTTTTTCTGAATAGAACAACTTTGTAAAATGTCTGAAAAACTTGAAATAATAACACCTCTGCTTTTTTTGCCTTTTTAAAAAAAGAAATATTAGATATTGTTAGCTGTTTATTAGTGGAATGCTGTTATTAAATGTCAATATATTATTATATTATAGAGGAATTATTTATTTCCCTTTCCCAAAACCATTTAATCTAGAAAATACTCTTTTGAGGCATTTAATTTGCCTATAGTAAATGTCCTTAAAATGAGGTATTGTTTTATAAATAGCAGAAAAGCTATAAAAAATCCAACAAGAAAATTAACAGTAATGCAAAAGAACCAAATCACTTTGTTTAACGCTTTGTCTTTTAAACTGACAGTGTTAACAGAACAGATTTGAAAGGAAAACTAGCAGAAAGTTAGAGATATCCTTACTATTTAATATATACTAATTTAATTTTAAGTGCTTCAAAACTAAGGTACAAAATAAACACGAACATAATTAGATGCAGGACACATGCAACAATACTGCTTAAGAAGGTGGATATTAGAAATGTGTCTAGTACACTTGTAGATGTTATGGCCTGTATGCTCTATGTACGCAGGGCAAAAGCCAATAGCTTGCTAACACAGGCCCTGAAGTGTCATATTCCTTTTTATATATGTTAAATTTAGCAGTAGTAGTGCTGGCACTGGCATTTCTCTGTACTGGATCATCTGGATCATCTGCCCCATGAAAGGGAAAAGAATCTGGTTATTGCAAAAAGGGGACACAGGACAAGAGTTAATCACTGTTGTCAATCACTAGCAGTCGCTATGGAACTACTTTTGAGAGCTCCTCATTAAGTCAGTGCCAACTGACTGACCATATGCATCCTCCTGTCTGAAGCAAGTGCAAGGTAAAAAATGTTATGTGAAAACTGCTTTTCATCAAAATAAGGCTATGTGCAAATATTGGCAAATATCACCCCAATCCATAAAAAAGGATGCAAGGCTGACCCTAGTAACTACAGGCCTATCAGCCTGACCTCGGTGCCTGGCAGAGTTATGGAGCAGATCATCCTGTGTGCAATCACACAGCAGCTACAGGATGGACAAGGGATCAGACCCAGCCAACATGGGGTTAGGAAGGGCAGATCCTGTTTGACCAACCTGATCTCCTTTTCGATCAGGTGACCCACCTGGTGGATGAGGGAAAGGCTGTGGATGTGGTCTATCTGGACTTCAGCAAAACCTTTGACACCATCTCCCGTAATATACTCCTGGAAAAGCTGGCAGCCCATGGCTTGGACAGGGGCACTCTGTGCTGGGTCAG